TCTATCAATATCAAGATAAAAAACTTAATGTTGCTCTACCTAGAGGCCGTAAAAACTATATTAACAAATGATAATTATGTAAAATATACAAATGCTAACACTGATACAATAAATATACRATTGAAATAAGATAATAGGTTGATTAGATATATTTCGTAGAACTAAAACGATTAAATATTAGTTGTCATCAGTGCAAAACCTATAGCTTTTTATTTTCTTTTTAAATACTTTTAAGGATCGTGATGGATGGATGGATGGATGGATGGATGGCCCATGCTTCTATGATATTTTCTTTTAAATGATTACGGATTTTGTTGGGCTGAAATTAAAAAAAGAACAACATGCCATTGTCATTAACGACTTTTTTCTTAGTTCAGCAAAATAAAATCGCATACTGGAAATTTTTAGTTTAATCTTTCTTCTGCGTGGCGTAAAGGATTTACACTACTCACCTGGTTCATTATGGCCGACATAAGCGTATTATTCAAACCACGAAGAAGAACATTGTGGTGGCCCAGAGAAGAAATGGAGTGGAGTTTGAGCTTCTCCCTAGTACCAATGTAGGTACAGCCTTGTACTGCGCACTTGTCGGCTCGCTGACTGCAGTTCCGCATATGCAAGACACTTTCACACCTGAATAGAGCATAAGTGGGTTAAGAATGATTTATGTAAACTTTAAAACAACACACTACTTCATCACAGCCAACTAGAGGTAAAAGTGTAGCATAATAAAGTGTAGCATAATAAAGTGTAGCATAATAAAGTGTAGCATAATAAAGTGTAGCATAATAAAGTGTAGCATAATAAACATTGTAACACTGAGCTGTCAACTAGCATGATTTGATTGGTAATTGCTTTCGGTAGGCCAAGTTATGGTTGCTTAACTTAGGTGTAATTTCCTGAATTTTTCGACTTTTATCGCTCTTTTTACCGTGTAAACGCTCGACTATCAATCAAATTAAACTAGCTTAGAATTGCTTCTGCATTGTTACCATTGGCATTTCCGGATGTTTTTTTTTAAGCTGGTTTAAATTTTCCTGCTAGAAACGCACCCAGTGAAAAAAACAATCGAAACGCAAATAAATAAATAATAACACCTAAACTTGATATAGTTTGCTCCAAACTTATTTTTTAAGTATGATCTATGATGGTTTAC